CTAACCCGTACCCATATGTTCCCCTCTTTTCAACCTAAACCGCTACTGCTTCCATTACTCTCAAGCTTACGAATTCTTATTTCTCCAAAACTCTCAACTGCTAAATTCGGCTATGTCTTTCTTGAACTTCACTGATCTTTCCAAGGAACAAAAGGCAACCCTGCTTAAGAATGTGTTGACAGGGATGAAGTGCGAACTGGATGTACCACCCAGGTTTGCTGAGAAAGGAGAAAGGATGACCAGCATCATTGACGGGCTGACAGAGTCTCAACTAAGCAAGGTCATCTCCTACGCTTATGAGGTCTACAACAACATTGACACCATTGAATTCTACCTCAACGCGTCCTTCAAAGATGAAACCGTCACCTCTAGAGTCCGAGGAGAAGAGGTACTGGTGGATGCTGACGTCATCAACAAAGTGTTTGACATTCAACTAGAGGAAGGCAGGGCCTCTCTATTTGATCTTGAGGAAGCTGACATCACTGTTCCTGAATTCAGGGGGAACCAGAGAACCCCACTTCTGTTGCCACTCCAGAACAGAATAGGGTACCAACTTCAACAGAGCACCCCAGCACAGGCAAAGAAGGGTATCTGTCTTTGCTAGATAGACAGTTTGCTCGTGTTCTAGAATGGAGAAGATGGAGGATGGGACCCCTTCACAAGATCATCCAATTCTTTGACCATTATGAGCCTGAAGAAGAGGCCATACTGAAGTGGGTAGGCACAGATGATGTCTCAAAGTGTTTTGCCCTCAACTTCCTCCATTCTGTCCTTGAGAAGAAGAAGGCAGGTTACAAGGGAAAGGTTGTTCTCATATCCTCACCTTCGGATGAGACAGTCAAACCCCTGGAAGAAGGAGAGATAGAAGCCTTTGAAGAATGGCTTTTTGCCAAGAAGGCAACAGAGTCTGTTCAACCTAACTTTATTCTAGGAGAACCCTCTGTACCTAAGACAGAAGGGCAGGCTATGATGGAGCTCATCAAGGAATGGAGGACCTCCTTGTTTGAAGAAAATGTAATTGAGGTAATCTCTCCAACCTCTTCTGTTCATAACTTAACAGAACCCCAAATCCCTTCCCTTCTTATTTCAACAGAAACCCCTCCTACAGAAAACCCTCAACCCAAATCCTCAGAACATAAAACCTCCACCTATCCTCACTCCTCAAATAAGAAAACCAAATCACCTTGCAAAGAACTTATCCCCATCAGAAACCGCTCCCCCTCACCTCCACCATCTCCTCCTCAACAGAATGCCTCCCCTCAACAAAACATCCCTTCTCCCCAACCTTCACTCCAACACCAGAATTCCCTCCCTCAACAGAAATCAACTTCTACTCAAAATAACCCCTCACCCTCTCCTGCAGAAAATTCTCCCAGAACATCTCTGCACTCTGCTGCATCTACACCCAAGAGACAGCCTCTTCACCGCATTCTCTCATCTGATAGTGAGAATGATGGCTTCCTGTCATCCTCTCTTGCTGGAGACCTCACTTCTAAACGCCAACCTACTCCTCCCAGAGAACCCTCTCCCCAGAAACCCTTCTGCAACAGACCAGAAGGACTCCCATGCACAGGTCCAGAGGACTAGGAATGCCAGAGCCTGAAGAATCTATACCTCAAATCCCCTTCAACAAGTTTGTTGAAACTGCAGAAGTGTTTGGTGGTCAAGTCCTGGAAGGCATGGACAAACTGATCCAGATCAATGACAAGCACTTTGAGCACCTTGCTCATGTGAATAATAACATCAACTCTGGGATGCAGTTTATCTCAGACCGCTTTGAAAACCTCACAGAATCCCTCCACAACTTCATGGCCTCCTCCTCTGCCAGAACAGATGCACTGTCAACAGAAGTGGTAGGTATTCACAAAACCCTATCTGTTTTTCATCAAACTCTTCTGAATCAAGGAAAGGCCATCAGCACAATCTCTGAGAATCTTGAGGCACTGCAAAGATCTGACAACAGAACTAAGAAGCAACTGCTTTCCATAGAGGAAATGTGCAAAGCCCACCAAGATCAAGCTCAACATCTTCTCTCTGCTGACAGAGACAGATACCAGAAGATGGTCCTGCTGGAAGCCAACAACAAGGACATCTTCTCTGCTATTCAGAAGCAGCAAAGACTGATAGAAGGTCTCACTTCTGTCACTCAGACTCTACCAGAGGCTCTTGAGCAGATAGCCTCCTCACAGGCCTCAGAGTTCCAGAAGATCAGAATTATGCTAGAGGACCTCAATGATGTCAAAAGGGGGGAAGAGGACCCTCAACAGACTAAGCCTCGGTCCACCAGAACTCCTGCTAGAGCATCCTCCTCTGCTGAACCAATAGTAGACCCTGCACCATACTTTGAAGCTGCAATACAGAAAAAGAGAGCAGCAGGTATACCTAGACCCCCATCTCCAGTAAAGAAAGGCACCAAGAAGAAGAAAATCCTCAGTTTTACTGATTGGAGATTGGGTGGATCCTAGAAAATTGATAGAGTTCAATTTGAAGAAATGAAGATGAAAATGACTCCCACACAACAACAGAACCTCTTCCTAGATAAGAATGGTGTTGTGCGAGTCAGATATGGGGGAACCCTAGAAGAAGCTGAAGATTGGTACCAGAAGAATGTTGTTCCTGGCAAGACAATTCATGAAGGAGTTCTCAGCTATTTGGATTGCAAGCTATCTCCCATCTGGGCATCCTATCAAAGCTCTGGTAACCTATCTCAGATCAGAGCAGAAATCAATGAAGAGCTGCTAAGGCTTCAAAGATTGGAGGAAGAACATCTGCAAGCAGCCACTATGGAGAATGTGTAAGAAATAATCTCTGTAAACTGTATCTAATCAAATCACATCTCTGCCTTTCACTTTGTAAGGCTTTTTCTCAATCTGTGTCTCTTTGCTTTCTACATGTGTTTGTTTGCTATTTGAATTATTATCTGCTATCTGAATGTACTGCACTCTTACTATTTTCCTATGCCAAGTTGCCCACCAAGTTTTTAATGGAAGTTTTAAACTTTAATTCTTTATGGTGAAGGCACTTCTCTGGAAATAGTTAAAGGGTTTTGGCATCATCAAAAAGGGGGAAATTGTAAGGATTATTTGTAATTAGATTTTGATGATGCTAGATTAATTAGGACTTTAGAGTACCCCTCTTTAGACTTAATGTATTAGAATTTTCCTTGTAATATTCTTTAGTATAATCGACTAAGCAGAAGGCCTCCAGAGCAGAAGACCTACAAAGCAGAAAGCCTCCAGAGGAGAAGACTTTTGTAAGGCTTTGGTTGAACAGAAGACCTTTGATTATCTGCTTTAGAACAGAAGACCTCAGGGTCTCTGTTATCCTTTACTCTGACAGAAACCCTCCTGGTTCTCTGTTGGATATCTTCTCAACAGAAGTGCTCAAGACCTTCTCTGATCAACTCTCTGCTAAAGACACCAGAAGGCCTGACACTTAGGAGAATTTCACCAAGCCGGGAAACCAACTGAAAGATTCATTCAACGGCTAGGAGTCTTGAACGGAAAAGCTACAGTATGCGCATTAAATGCACATTTAATGCCTTCCATACTTTGTAGAGTAAATGCAGATGATTGGCCGCAATGTCAGGATAACTTTATCCCAAAATAGTAACCCGCCAACTTTACCGGGTCCTACTGGTCAAGTCAACTGCTCGCTCATTTAATGCAGTTGTCCTCCTTCTCCTCCAACGGGAAGACAACCTCAGTATAAAAGATACACTACGAAGAACAACCGGATAACTTTGCTATAACTTTTGCTACAACTCTGCATACAAGATATTCAAACGCTAAAAACGCAAAAAGCCTCATTGAGATTAAAACTTCATCATCTTCTACAAGAGAAGGCAGAAGTGGGAAAAATCCTTATTTCCAACTCAAGCAAAGTTCTAAGTGTTCTTCAACTCTTCAAGCTCATCACATACAAACTCTTTGTAACGAAGCAAGTTGGAGGAACCTCTGTTCTAAATAGAACCTCTTCTTTCACAAGAAGGACATCCAAGTACCTGGAGCAGTGAAGTGGTGATACTTCTGGGAAAGCTCAGTGACAGGACCAGTCTTAGAGAAGCCGGAAGTGCATCCAAGAAGACATCTACACTTGAAGAAGACGTGGAGAGCTTCTTAGGTGATAGGGCTAAGGAATTGTAAACGGACGTTTTTACAAGCTTAGTGGAACAGTGGACTAGAGGAAAAAGTTGTTCCTTGAACCACTATAAAAAGCCCTGGTGTCATTTACTTACTGCATTACATTCATTGTTTTTATTTGAACTGTTTAACTCCAAAGACTTGGTATCTGTGTTCAGCAGAACTTGCCTTGTGAGTTAACAGAAGACCTACTGCCTTTGCTTCTCTGAGGCTACTAACAGAACTCCCTACCAGAACCCCATCCGCTGCTAGTCTGTTCTGCCAACAGAACAGGCTATTCTGTTAAATCTGGTACTTAGCTTGAAAAAGTTAAAAACCAATACAGTCTATTCACCCCCCCCCCCCCCTCTAGACTGTATCCAGTACAACCAGGACCAACAGTCATTACTAGAAAAAAGGCTATTTGTTGCGGTTATTTTGAGTTAATTGCTGCAGTTTTGAACCGCAACAATTGGAGCAGCAGCAAAATCCGAATTTAGTTATTTGCGGCGGTCAACAACCGCAGCAAATCGGCATGTCTATTTTTTGGCAATTACTTTTTGCAGCGGTTCATGGACAACCGCAGCAAATAGCTTCATAAATTTTAGTTTATTGCAACGTGCGGTTTGTGCCCAATCGCAGCAAAATCTATATATAGCAGTTGCTGCATATTTTTTTTATTGATCCAAATGGAGCATTTAATATATATCAAAACTCAAAGGCTTGGATTTTTTAAGTAGCAACACTTTCATTAATCCACAATACATTGAAAAAGAATACGAAATATCAGTATTCTAGAAATTAATCCACATTACATTAAAAAAGAATACGAAATACCAGTATTCTACAAATTATATACAAATTAAATTATTTTGAGAGACTAAATTAAATCCACATTACGAAAGAACATATCGAGCTAGCAGATCATAAGCAGATCATAAACCTAACTTAACTAGAAATGAACATCAGAACCTCTGGATCTTGCATTTGGGAGGAAGACTGTGTGAACTTCTCCAAATCAATACATTAATTGTAAATCATTAACTTCTGTTGCACCCATCAGAGCCTGTTTCTGCTCTTGGCATCAAGATCTTGACTTGCAAATCCTGGACGCCATTGATGTTGACTGTGTCAAACTGCAACTCGACGACTGACAAGATCAGAAACAAGCATTGGCTTTGAAGTCCATGTATGACGCCGAAAATAGAGCCTTTGAACAGTCTATTTTGTCCAGACCACCCTGCGTTGCAGATTCATCTGCATTCCACAGGCTGGCGTACACCTTCATCGACTGATTATTTGGGAACGGCACACCCATCGCTTTGTTGTTGGTGAACACTCTTATCGGAATGTTATCCATAGAGAATCTGCAAGAATCTCTCAAGAACTTGAAATCCATCTCATCATGCATGTTTCCTAGAGAAGGTAACTGCGTGTTTCATCAAGATTTCCATTCATCAAAAATCCAAATAAACTAAAGCTAATTAAATGAAATGAATAATCAGCAAGAAAAAGAAATGCAAGTAGGATAAGATCAAAGGGTGTGCATAAAAGGTGGTGACGGTTTTGGCAACTCAATTAAAGAATCAAATCCAAAGTCCTGTGAAGCAATTACCCAAGAATACACATCAATAAAAAACTAAAATAAATAAAAATCAAATTGTAAAAGATATACTTACCCCAAAATGCTGCAATTGTACTATTGAAGAAACATATATGGTGTATAAGGTTCATCTCTTCTGGTGCTCTAATAAACGTAAAATACTAAAAAGCACATAATTAGAGAAATACATATGCATAATAAAAAAATATGTAATGTTTACACATGCACACACATTTAAAACTTATGAAATCAATAAGTCAACTAACTATTCTAAATTACAAACTTGTACTTAAATTAATACATCAGTAACACAGATATCGTCTAATTTTGACTTAACCGGCTTTTTTACTTGTATAGGAGTGTTTCCATAAGCACTTGTTTAAATTTTTGAGTACATAATATTTTGACGTAACATGTTTTTACCTTTCTTATATGTCCCAAAACTTAATCTACTTTCTACAAATAAATATCAATTGCTTTTTTTTTTAGTTTTCCAACTTAGACTACGTACTTTTTACCTTGGCATATGGTGGGCACATGTAAAATTAAAACTATAGATTACAACAACACTTGTCAAACTGTCAAAAATAATCTCCCATATGCAGAAGAAATTCCAGCAGCAAAATAATCAATAAAAAGTAAGAATAAGAAAGCTCAATGCATTTTCTAAAATTGGGATCATATCATATAAAACTTTGCCACAAATAAAATCACTCTATCTTGAATAAAAACAAACAAAGTAAAAAGGACTTTCTATCGCATAGCAGTGTGCTTATCATTGGTTCCACATCTTTTATAATCATAAACATTGCGTCTCAAACTTAAAGATAAAGTAACTCACGCTCATCAGTTGGAAAACAACCCTACTCCCTTCCATTAGTTTCGGTTTCTTTTCTTCGTTAAGATAAAGTAACTCACGCTCATCACGTATCTACAAGACAATTAAAATAAAAAGATATAGTGATAAGTACCTTCAAAAACATTAATACTTCATATAGAAAATTGGGAATCAAACATTTTTATCAATATGATTATAGTCAATAATACATTAATACAACCTCAATCAGGGGATCAACTGAGTTCATTTCTGGGTATTTCCACTTCAAGAGACCCTCATGTGTTTGTGGAACATACGGATCATCCCAACCCTGGCACAGGGATCGGTGATTACAACAAGACAATGAAATAGTAAAACAAAAAGAAGCAAGAATTGAAGGATGGTGTCTCGTGAAAGTTACTAAAATAGTCATATCTAAAAGTAGCCAGAGCCCATTTGGGATGACTTGGAACAGGTAAAAGCACTTTTGTCAAATTTCAAAAATAATATATTGATAATTCTGCTGAAAAGATGAATAGAAAATCATCAAATGTTACCCTTTACAGAGTTAGAATCACTTGTGTCATCATAAAAAGCAATAAAATGATACAACACTTTTTAGAAAAGAACATATTCAGAAATTTCTCTTTAACCGTCCCACTGCATAAGAAAACGTTCTTTTTCATAATGTGATCTAGTTCAGATGCATCATTCAAAAGATTGTATATCCCCAAAATTAAACCTGAAAAAACGAGACCATCACCTGCATGTGAAATCGTGCTAGAATTATTTCCAATAGTATACCATCAAGTAGACGTCATTAGCAAAAAAAACAAAGCTTACCTCTTTAACTAATGTATCAGTGTGAAGTAACTGAATATAGTCTGATACTTTCCTTGATACACCTTTCATTGACGGTGGAAATTCCTTTGTGTGCTGAGCTTAATTTAGTCAGCCCCTTCCTCTAGCCGCCAACACCTGTTGGGGCACTAACACGACCAATAGCTCTAACAATGGAAGGAAAAACAAGCAAGTTCAAGCCCTTAAGACAACAAAAGCATTCATTCGTGATCAGGAAAATAATGAAAACAATGTAGACATGTTCTAGGAAATACAAAGAAGGCCTTTGAAAACCCTTTATCATTAGTCTTCAAGCAATCACCCAAGAATACACATAATAAAACTTATGAACACAAGTACTTAATGACCTAACGTATCATCAGAGACCTGAGCCGGAAGAAACGGCCCCTACAACCAACCACACAAGTACTTAATGACCTAACGTATCACATAGTACCCTAAGCTAGGGCCGTTAACGAGTCAAACCGAGACGAACATCCAAAGCTAGAGTTCGACTGGATTCAGTAATAATGATGTTAAGGTTTGAGCTCGAAGTTTGACGAGTTTTACAAATGAGTCTCGTGTTCAGCTCGATAACCGTAAGATATGAAGTTTGACTCATGAGATCCGAAATGAAGCTCAAACCCGTTCAAAAAAGTTGGGAAAAGGGGCAAATAAGCCCTCGAACTAACCGAAAAAGTGCAAATCACCCCTTTTATAGGAGGCTATGTCCGTCCTTCGCCATTTGGGGCGGTTACCAATGGAATTTTGTGATGAATTTTTTTGAGCATCTTCTACATTAAGTCTAGTTTACGCAATCTAAAATTTCAGATGAAAATGTGTTAGGTATGGGCCTTTCAGCCCCTCGAGCCGGTCAAACCCGCGACTCTTAAACCCGCCTCTTCGGTAGGAATGCCAAAGAATCCCACACCGGTGGGCTAGGAGAGTCCTTGGTACCTTTTAAGGCCTAGCCTCTCTACCCCTATTCACGCGTTTTAAATCCGTGAGGGGCAACCCAAAGCGGACAACATCGGTAGTCTGCCTCCAGGCTGTGGGATCGATCCTTCAATTGGTATCAGAGCCAGGGGCAGCACCGGTGTGGGGGGGATTGTTAGGTATGGGCCTTTCAGTCCCTCGAGCCGGTCAAACCCGCAACTCTTAAATCCGCCTCTTCGGTAGGAATGCCAAAGAATCCCACACCGGTGGGCTAGGAGAGTCCTTGGTACCTTTTAGGGCCTAGGCTCTCCACCACTATTGACGCGTTTTAAATCCGTGAGGGGCAACCCAAAGCGGACAATATCGGTAGTCTGCCTCCCGGCTGTGGGATCGATTTTTCAAAATGCAATCGGGAAGGCAGCCAAATAAATGTTTGAAGATAACTGTGCAGTCAAACAATGCAGGATATTTCAGAAAATCATTTCACTTCCTTTTCGGTTGAATTTTTAGCTGAAATATGGTATGGGTAAACTAGACTTAATGAAGAAGATGCTCAAAAAAATTCATCAAAAACTTCTACCGGAAACCTCCCCAAATGGCAATGGCTGGACTGAGTCTCCTATAAAAGGGGTGATTTTCACTTTTTCCGTGACTAACCGTTCGTTCGTTGATAGCCATAGCCTAAAAATCCACCAAACAAGTGAGATAGTACTAACGTATTGTTGTAAAACCATCAAATTGACAAGTGTGAATATTCATCCTTGTAATCAGGACACTAATCTAGTTTTCATCCTTGTAATCATAGATAAACAGATGGCTAGTTTTAATGTTGCCAGCAAAATATGTAGAATTACTCTTTGATGATTCATCACCAAGCTCAACCAGTATAAATAGGGGTTTTGTGATGCCTTGAAAACTCACTTAGAAAATTTTCACATATTAAATAGTAGAATATCCAGAGGTTATAATCTTTATGTCTATCTCATATCCATACTTCGTCTTCTTCATTTTACAACACGTTATCAGCACGAATCTACTCAAAGTTTTCCAGAAATCATCTCTTGCAGGTATTAACATTAATATCTATTATCTTCTTTTAAACCGGAAAATTATTCTGAATTTTATAATATATGAATAGAAAATATAGATAGCATACCTTTGCATGATTGATTTCTTCCAATTTTGATAAAACTCTAGTAGGAGAGGAGGAAATTGACTCATCTACGCAAGTTGTAATACTCCACATTCCACAATGTAAGGATGAACAAGTAAAGAAACAATAAAACATATAATGATAGATAAAAAATGGTAAGAGGAGTAGGTGAGAAATAGAACGGCTAAGTGCAAAAGTGTTATATGTAAGATAATATACTCTGGCATGTGTAAATATAACAAAGTGACATGCATGGATCCTTATACAACAATGTTACTCACAGAGTAATTTTAGAAAACGGTGCTCAGTCATAACATGTGCTATCAAAGCAAGAAACTGCATTCTTTTTGTTTTCTTTAATCACGGGTCTGCATATAGTGAATACAAACAAAATAAATTGTTTGGTTTCTTGAGTCTTGTGTGAGAATTAATGGGAAATGTACTCCAATAGGAGTTCTGACATGTATATTTATAATTAAAGAGTTATAAACATACTAGGAAACAAATATGCCTAATAATATTCTGTTACACCCCCTCAAACTGTGCGGGAGATACAACGTGCGGGTTGTCCTTTAAAAAATGAAATTGCTGACTAGAAAGACTCTTTGTAAAAATATCTACTAATTGTAGTTGTGTAGGGATGTACTTCATGACTAAGTCTCCATGAGCCACACATTCTCGGACAAAGTGGTAGTCTATCTGGATGTGTTTGCTACGAGCATGCTGAACATGATTAGCAGTCAAATAAGAAGCAGAAATGTTATCACAAATTAACTGAACCGGAACCGTAACAGGAAAACGGAGCTCAAAGAGGACGGAACGAATATGCAATGTATCCTGAACAGTATATGCAACAGCTCGATATTCTGCTTCTGTAGAGGACTTCGATACGGTAGGCTGCTTTTTGGATTTCCACGAAACAAGATTTGGACCCATGAACACAGCAAAACCAGTCGTGGAACGAGATGTATCTGGACAGCCTACCCAATCCGCATCTGAATAATCAATAACACACGTGGCCCTAGTAGTAGGCTCCTGCTCAGCATCTGACTTCTCCTCCCCCGTCCAGCATGCCGTCTCTCAGCCGCAAGCCAGGGCTGTGATCTCCCGTCCGGCTAGCAGCATCCCCATGCCACCGCCGACGACCGCGTACATGGCAGCGTATCCGTTTTCGTCATATACTGCGCCACCGCCATATTCACTCTTCAAATCTTTGTCGCCGCAATTCCCATGGCAGTCCATTCGACCTATCCTGCCGTCGGCCAGTCCTCGTCCCCCACAGTCGCCGCCACCAGCTTCTCCATATTTTGGTACTTCCTTCACTGGCTTTCCCGGAGTAGTGCGACCTCAGAACGACAACCCTCTATTCAGCTCTCCTAAGGCAGCCATGGCACATGCTGTTTCTCATGGAATTGCAAATGTTGGCCAGATTGTTACCAACAAACTCAAAGCAGATGAAGATTATCTTACATGGCGCACTCATTTCGAATCATTCATGGTGTCACATGGTCTTTTTGGTATGTTAGACGGCTCTATTCCGGTACCTCCCTTATATACGCTGGATTTTAATAATCATCAAGTCGTTAATACTGACTATTATCATTGGCATACAGTAGATCAAACAATTTATTCTTGGTTGTTTGCTACTTTATCTCGTGAAGTATTAACTAATGTCCATGATATTAAACATTCACTCGGTATATGGCAGCATTTACCATCACGATTTATGTCTGCCAGTTTACCTAGAGCTATGGAGCTTAAACGCTTATTGTCTAATACTAAAAAGAAATCAAATCAGTCCATGGAGCACTATTTACATGACATTAAACATTTGGTTGATGTTTTAGTTTCAATTAATTCACCTATGACTGATAAAGAATTATTACAAAGCACACTCCAGGGCCTAGGCCCTGAGTATCAGTTTGTTATGGGCACTACATCGTTGTTTCCTGAGAGCTTTCCACCTGAAGTCCTCAACCCGCGCCTCATGGAAGCTGAGCAGACTCTTTTGCATCAACAACAAGATTATTCTTCTCCTCACCAAGCTTTTTCCGCTCCATTGGGGACTGGGCAGCCGGGTCTGTCAGCTTCATGCGGCCACGGAGGTCGCGACAGAGGAGGAAGAGGCCACGGGGGTCGCGGCAGAGGAGGCAGACAACCGCCGCAACAGTTCTATGCACCACCAGCTCCTACGGTGCACTCCAGCCAGCCTGGGCCGAGACCTGCAGGGGGTGTTCCTGTCCCGAGACCTCCTAATGACGCATCTGGTAAATCTGTTGTGTCCACTTTAAATATTAATGCTAAGTCTGCTTTTGGTACTCATTGTTATTCTGCAGGTTTCCCGTCATCTGAGGGTATTCTCGGGTCTGTTCCTTCCCCAGTTGTGTGTCAAATTTGTTTCTCTGCAGGTCACTCTGTGATGCACTGTCCATCTTGTTTTTCACAAACTTCTGCTCCTGCGTTGATTACTCCAAGTGGTGAATCCAACGATGTTTTGTGGTATCCGGACTCGGGTGCTTCTGCTCACATGACATCTTCTGAAGGTATTCTGTCAAATAAATTCCCTTACTCTGGCTCCATGACTGTTAGTGTGGCAACACAGTTAGTACCATTTGCCACACTAACAGTCATGGAGCCAGAGTAAGGGAATTTATTTGACAGAATACCTTCAGAAGATGTCATGTGAGCAGAGGCACCTGAGTCTGGATACCACAAAACATCATTGGATTCACCATTTGGAGTAATCAATGCAGGCGCAGAAGTTTGTGAAAAACGAGGAAACAAATATGCCTAATAATATTCTATTATCTTGATTGTGAGAAGTAAAAAACAGTTTTCTAGGTGGCAGGCACCCACATACTATCCTCCGTCTTTAAATAGATGCAACATGAGGTTCCGGCACACGATTTAAGAAAAGTAAATAAAGTGATTTTCCTCCTATTATACCCTTCAGTACTCCGCGTTGGGTTGTAGCAGATAAAGGCTATAGACATACTACCTCCGTCCCTTAAAACTTTGCCAAAGTTGACCGACACGAAAAATAATAAAGTAAAAACTGTGTGGTTGAGTTTTGTGCAGAGGAGAGAGAAATAATAGAAACCACGAAACAATTGAGTAAAAGGGAAAGTGGCAGAGTTTTTTGGGACGTCCCAAAAAGGAAAGATGGCAAAGTTTTAAGGGGCGGAGGGAGTATTACTGTACAATAACAGTACCGCTTTCCATATTACAAATACTATCACGGATTCACGATACTTTCAAATTAGCTTACACAATACTCAAATCTGTAAACCTCAAATCGGTAAACCTTCTCTCCGGCGTCCAACCTTGAAATCCAAAGATCCGATGGTAAACCTCCCCCTCCAGCGGCAGCACCTGTGTCGGCCTTTTGTTGATTGATGTTGAATGGTTTGTCTCTCTTGCAGCAAGAATGTGAGGAGTAGTTGTAAGCCTGGATGCACTAACCCTGCATCTTCCATGGTCGAATATCGAGGGGGGCAAAAAGGAAAACTAAATTATTTTGTGGGAAAAGATCTGAATCTCTCTTAATCTCCCTCGTTGAATACTAATTTTTATTTTGGGATGGTGAAGCCTAAAAGAGTAAATAAGGTGTCGGCATGTTAGATCAGAAAAACACATGGTGTATACGGAGGAAGATAGCTAAAGGGGTGGATGGCAACTGGAAAGAAATTAAGGAAAGAGAGAAATGAGAGATCGATGGTGGGATAGAGAAATTAGAAAAGGTAGGAATGAAATTGTGTGAAATATGCCCAGATACAACAGTCGAATAATCTAAGAATATTGATAAGAATTTAAACAGTATAAGAGAAATTCAACATCAACTTATACCGTGTATTCATAATGATGTTTCGATGAAG